AGCCTAGGGGTGGAGATTGGAGGGTATTGTCTGTTTCAGATGTGGCTTTTTACAGAGCTGTTTAAGAGGAGGTAGGGTCATTAGTGAGAGGTCGATCTAAAGCCTGCGCTCCTTCTCCTGGGCCGCAGCCGGGCTTCCTCCCCGAGGAGAAAAACAAGTGGGAATAGCAAACTTGGTGATAATTCAGAGCAAAGGGTGTTTGTGGCATATTTACAGCACATCTCCAGTGTTTTCTGTCTGCACCGTGGAGAGCAGAGGCTGATGTCATGTGATTATTTTGCTGGCTGCCTCCACAGAACTATCAAGAGGCTTTGCGCTACATCGGAAAACTGCCTTTTGATCAGGCAGAGAGTAACATGAAGCGGTATGGTAAAATCCTGATGCACCATGTCCCTAACAAGACCACAGAATTGCTGAAGATCCTTTGCACTGATTACCGGCCATTGGGTGACAATGAAGGCCCTGGGACACTGGAAGGAAAAAAGGTACAGTGTACGTTGATTGAGAGTTGTTGCTCTCTAGTAGCAGCTTTGCAGCAAGCGCGAGCGCTCCGGCACGCCTTGTGGCGCAGGCCTAATGGTTTAGGTATAATGAGAAGCCTGGTCTGGTACTGGTAGTCCCAGAGATGAGAGGCCGCTTAAAGCTATCGCTCAGAACTGAGTCCTGCTGTAATGAGCATCCCGTACTGTGCTGTATCCGTTGTGACGCAGACTCTGGGAACGAGCGCTCTGCACGGCAAGGAGGAAGCTCCAGTCTGGCTGCGACTGATCCGGGGGCTTGACTTTTCCTGGCTGTGTTACAGGCTAATTCGGAGGAGTTCATTCCAGTCTTTGCAAACAACTCCCGAGAACTGAAGGCTTTTCTGGAGCACATGACCAAGGTGCAGGCTGACTCTCCACAGGGCGTCTATGACACTTTACTGGAACTTCGACTCCAGAACTGGGCACATGAACAAGATGAGCAGGTTTGAGCTCCTCCAGCTTTGTGTTTTGAGAGGGAGATTTGGTGTCTTTGAACCCTATTTGCATTCCTGCTAACCCATAACCTCTCTAGAGGAGCATTGGTAGCATGAGGCGATACATATGCTGTGCTGGACAACTGGCACAGAAATGGGAAAGCAGCCTCCTAGCTGAGAGAATACTCCTTTCAGTGAGGCTGAGCTTGCTTTTCTATGAATCTCATTTACTAACAGATTCCAGACAATGCAACCTCTGTGGGCAGATGTTTCTCCCACAAAAGTAGCTCTACTTGCTTGCCTAGATCTCTGAGGTTGCTGGCTGTTTGGGTGAAAGAAACTACATCCTGTTTGCTTAAAAGGGATAGAGTGCAAATAGCAAAACTGTCCTTCTCTTTGAAAGAGGTGCCAATTGTTGTCAGGTCTCGGTGCAAAATGTTCTCTGCGTGTGTGTTGTTCTCCCCAACCTTTCCCTCTTCTCTCTAGATCAAGGAGAAGCTGCACAACGAAGCCCTCACCCTCTTGAAGAGTGGAAGGTTCAAAACCGTCTTTGATAAGGCCTTGGTCTTGTGTCAGATGCACAATTTCAAGGATGGTGTCCTCTACCTCTATGAGCAGGGCAAACTGTAAGTGTTGCTCTTGTCCGTAGAGTCTTGTCCCTGCCTGCAGTGCAGGGATTTCTGAGCCATAAATGTCCCTGGCTTATGATGGTAATGACCTTTTTAGTGTCTCAAGGCAGAAACTATAAACCATTGTTGGGCTGAAAATATCTTGTTGTTAGAGCAGGGCATTTATGTAGGAAGTGAGCAACAGACCTGTCTTGGCTTCTGGGTGAACGTCTGGGGATCGTGTGGCTGGGTGAAAACCTGAGGTCCCTATAACAACTCAGATGTATCGTGGCAGCTGATGAGTCTATTTCTCCCATAGTTTCCAACAGATCATGCACTATCACATGCAGAATGAGCAGTACAAGAAGGTGATCGAGGTGTGCGAGTTGTATGGAGACCAAGAGGCTTGTCTCTGGGAACAGGCTCTCGGCTACTTTGCACGGAAGGAGGAGGACTGCAAAGAATATATTGCTGCAGTGCTGAAGCACATTGAGAACAAGAACCTTATGCCTCCGCTGCTTGGTAATAATGATAACATGTGGCACCCAAAAAACCCACTGAACCAAAGCCCAAGCTAGTTTATAGCGCACTCTGTAGATTAGTAATTTGAGAGAGGCGTCTATAAGGCTTGAGCCCACAATTTGAAGTAATAAGCTGCCTTATAAGTAAAAGTCATGCCAGTCATACCTCCCGAATTAGGAAAAAAGATCTGCGGTATCAGTCCTAGAGATGTCTGTATGAGACTTCTCTTCTGTCTGTGTGGGGAGGTGAAGGGCTTGGTGGAGATGTTGAAATGTAATCCAGTCTACTGGATTCTTGCTTTGCCCCTTTTGGTCTGAGCTATCCAAACATGCTCCCAGTCATCCATTTTTGGAAGAGGTCAAACTGAAATCAAACCTGAAATGAGCTCTCTGATTCAGTGAGAATGCCAACTGCCTCTGCTTCTGCCTGTAAGAGGCCTTTTACAGGAAGGTGGTCTGTCCGAGTAGGACTAGTGTAGCTGCAGTTTATTGCCTCGTGTTTACACTGACATCTCTGTTGCTCTCAGTTGTGCAGACGCTGGCTCATAACTCCACTGCCACACTGTCTGTGATTAAGGATTATCTTGTCAACAAGCTGCAGAAGCAAAGCCGCCAGATAGAGCAGGACGAGCAGAGAATTAAAAAATACCGAGAAGAAACTACAAGGATCCGCCAGGAGATCGAAGAGCTAAAGGCAAGGTGCGGAACTGTGTGCTGTCTTGATTTATGTAGAATAGAACTGCTGTTTTCTTTCATTAAGGAAAAAATGTACTTTGTCTTTCTCACTCTTCTGCCTCCTCTCAGTCCCAAGATCTTTCAAAAGACCAAGTGTAGCATTTGCACCAGTGCCCTGGAGCTGCCTTCAGTCCACTTCCTGTGCGGTCATTCTTTCCACCAGCATTGCTTTGAAAGCTACTCCGAGAGTGACTCGGAATGTCCTACTTGCATGCCCGAGAATCGCAAAGTGATGGACATGATCCGAGCCCAGGAGCAGAAGAGAGATCTGCACGACCAGTTTCAACATCAGGTAGAGTAACACTGCCTGTCTTACCAAGTCTGAATCAGTAGGGCTTAGATTTATTTACAGATTCTCAGAGGCTGGTAGCAAAGGGTAAGGGTGAAAGTATTTTGTAAACAAGGTTGTGCTGACTGTGAATAATGAGGCGTTAAAGCCCTAGGGTGACTGTGTGATGTGTAGGGCATAAAGAGTCCTCTCCAAAAGAGTCCTCTTCAAGGACAAAAGAGAAACTCTCCTCACGTGACCCCAGAACAGATTGAGGCCTATTGGTCAACAGAACAAAATCGAGAATGGAAATAAAGCTGTGTGAATCAGAATGGGGATGGGACAGCGCAGTTGGGGTACACCAAGTGTGTTCCATTCGCATTGTGCTTCCCAAGGAGGAAGCGGTGAAGTTGAGGAGGGGGTAGGAGCTGGAACGTGTTAACGCACGAGGAAACTGAGGCAGCCCTTCTGTGTGCTCGTTACCTTGCCAGGGCACGGCGCAAAGGTAGGATTGGAATGAGGTGGCAGAAACCCTTAGCAGAGCAAGCTCCTCCTGTGGCCCTTGCCTTGGAGGACTGGAGGGGGGGGAAGGGAGCCCCGAAGCACTGGAGCCCTGTGCTGATGCTGCTGCTCTGTCTCCGACAGCTCAAGTGTTCCAACGATGGCTTCTCCGTGGTGGCTGACTACTTCGGTCGCGGCGTTTTCAATAAACTCACCCTCATCACGGACCTGCCCCCGGGCAAGGCGGTGACGACGATCGAGGCGGGCCTGCAGCGGGAGCTGCTCATCCAGGCCAAGCGCAGCACCTGAACCCACCCCCTGGCGCGGTGCGGGCCACCCCCCGCCCCCCTGTCTCCGCGGTCTCCCCTGCTCTGTCCCTCGCCCCCAATAAACCAGACTAGCCGGGCCGTCCGCCCAGTGTCGGGGCGCGGC